CTCATCCGGTATATTTCTAAATAGGTAAATTATTGAATTTGGTATGAGATTTGCATTAATGCCCGGTACTTAATAAGAAATTATAACGTATTTGGGATTTGTTTCCTTTTCGGTTGAGCGATTTTTTGCTCGGCACTAATCTCTTGAGTGCTTTCCCCTCCCCTCCAAATAATCGTTGGCTGCGAGCAATAATTCTGCTGAATGATACCTTCTTGATGAGTCACATCCCACTTCCTATTTCGAGCTTTGCTCTTTTCTAATCCTTGATTCAGCGCGGCCACGGAAGCCCAGCCCCTCCATATTTCTTAATTTCTTTCATGATGAAATTTCAGGCAATACCATTCTCGAATCGTGAGTTCCTAGGCGATTTCCAATCTGCCTCTCAGTTAGCGCATTCTTGGGGAGATTGTGCCGATGAGAGCCTTCCGTCGGGAAACGAAGAAAAGGATGCAAGAGCATATGTTAGTGACCGACACATTTCCAATGAAAGTTTAAAATAGAAGTTATTGAACCCCCCCCCCCTTTCCCCACTCTCTCCCTCCTTCCCACACGCGATCTGATTTATTCCATTGCAATGTTGTTTTGAATGAGGGCTGGCCAAGAACAGGGGCGTACTATTGAATTCTTACAACTAACTGGGATGCGCTAATCAATTATGCGGCGCCGAATCTGCATTGCATATCCAATCCAAGACAGGAATCCCGAGATTGTTGGCTCACCAAATTCCGCTCCAAGAAATCCTTTTTTAGTTGGCGCATTGTAACTAAATAGGATTCTAATTTATTCATTCTGCAATGCGAGGCTTCTTTCTTATTTACGGCTCATTCCCGAACTCAGAAGCCTTCTGCAATCTACTGTGCGCTGATCTGATTAGTTGAGTGGAAGTTAGACAAATTTGTCCAAAATTTATTTTCATTTGCCTTTTGGTGTGTATTAAGTGTTTGTACTTTATCGTATAATGATTCATTACTTTTTATTAAAATTTCATAAAAAGCTATTGCGTCATTATGATGCAACACATCTGGTCCGCACTGAAGCAACTATATTTCAGCAGACGGCTCAGTCTCGCTACAACAGTAATTCTCATTCAACAACCAAAGGTTAAACAGGGGGCCAGAGGTGCTGCATTATAATGACGCAATGGCTCTTCATGAAATTTTAAGAGAAAATAATGAATCATTACATAATAAATTTATCAAATTTTTCGCAAACTCGTTCAGTTTTTTTGTTTTATTGTATTCGATGTTTCCTTGACGATTCGCGTGGTAGTTCTGTATTCCAGTATTCAAATCCTTCTGTTCAGTTGCAGTGGGAATTCATAATAAATAGTGTACTTTCTTATTCTGACATGTTGCGAGTTCAAAACTCACTGTAATCTTGCCATTTCTCGCAGAAACCGATTTTTCTGTTCAGCATTGTTTGGCTCAAAATTGAATTTGTGCCGAGGTTAGGATTTTTTGGCGATTTTTACAAGTGTAATCGGTGTTCGATCTGTTATTGGGATTGTTTATTATTGTTCTAAAACCCTCATACTATTATGCAAGTGTGCCCTCTCTCCATGGCCTGAGAATCCGCTTACTATTCATAACTAACGCTAAACATCTTTTACCTACGTGCATCATGTGGTCCAAAAGTCGTTAGGATGGAATTTTTTTTTGAACATGTAATTTTGCGTGATATCGCACAGCATGATAGATAGTTTGCATGTTTTTAACAGTCAGGATGGCGTAGAATTTGACAGAAAAAGTGCAGTTTTACCGGGAAATAGATGAAATAGATTCCTGTAATAAATCAAACTCGAGATCAAACACCAGAAAAATGCAACTTATGAGCGTGGTGGTGCCGGAATGGCAGGTGAGGCAATTCTGAGTTTCCCCTGTCTTGTCGGAGGCCAAGTACAGTGCAGCGGTAATTAATTACCGAGGTCATCTGTTGTACACATTTGCATTTTTGCAGTGGTCGACGACAGCTGCGGCGAAGGCGGTAGCGAACAATCGAGAGGAACCGGTCGCAGGTGAGAACATCCGCACACAGTTTCAAACTCCAGCACAGTTTCAAACAGTCACAGTCATGCGCACCCCGGTGCGCAGGCCATAAAACAGCTTTCTCACATTATTTCATCGTTGATATGGCAACCATGCTTCAAAGGAGCTAGTTGACGGCTCCATGGATTGAGATCCAGCCTATGAATTAACACTTTTTCCCAGCATCTCTGACAGACGATGACATTTTTAAGCAGTCTATGGAGCTGGAGGACGGGGGATGGGAGGAAGGAGAGGAGGCAAGGAGGCCAGTACTGCTGTTTTTTGATTGTCCTTATCGGAAGGAAAATGCGAGAAACAGAGTTACGAAGCGAAAATCTCAGTCACGAAAGCTCAGGCGTAATTTTGGTCGAAGGAGCACAGAAATGTCACGAAATTCAGCGAAATCTGTGCACGGCTCAACCAAGAAGCATCCAGACAATCAACTTGGCGTGATAAGTTACATGAAAAATCGAGCAAATGCGTTCAAGAACTTGAAGAATACCAGTAAGCTGAGGCGTAAAGGTAGAAGGAACGTCAAGTTCTATGCACTGCTGGGAATAGTGTTTGAACTTTTACATTTATTTTTTATTACTATTATTATTACTGCGGGTTATTCTGCATGTTTTGGAATAGATTTACTTGATAGTTGCTGTTGAGGAAGTAAATATCAATACTAATGTCTATAAAATTTCATCTCATTGGAAGAGCGTTTACAAATATTTTTATCATTATTTTTGCTATTAGCGTTGTTATCATTATTGTTATTACCATTATTATTATTGCCATTATCATTGTTATTATTACCGTTATTCTTATTACTGTTATTACTATCATTATCATTATTATTGTTACTATTATTGTTGTTGTTGTAACTACTATTATAATTATTGTTATTATAAACCTTGTATTTTCGTAATTTTTCGTGCTTCCAGTAGATTTAGTTGATACTTGTCATTAGAAATGTTAAAATCAATATTTTTTGTATAATTTAACACGAATATCCAGGTGCTCCAAGAGTGCAATTATACGGTTATTATTGAGTAAATTATAATGATTTTGCATATTGAAATTTACCCTTAGAGTAATCATAATGATTTTGCATATTATCATTGTAACCATACTTTATAATTTCACTGTTAACCGCCTACTGTAACAATGTTGTCGTTTTTAGTGGCTTCGACCGGTTGCTCCATATTGAGCCGCTGCGGCGCGCTACGAACGAAGTTTGCCAAATCAGCGAATATCTTTGTGCCAATCCTACGAAACTTTCTTCTCCTCAACGCCACTGCAGCTCATTTCACCCGTATGTGATTTTTATCAGCGCTCATCCATCTCCCCATCGGCCTGTCACACACAGATCTCTTTTTCCGTAAACTGAAAGGGCCTTTCTGCCCGCCTATGAACGTGTTTTCGTGGATGGATGAAAAAATAACTAGTGTTAGGACGAGATAGGAAAAAAGAGTTTGGGATTGCGCGGTGTTGCTTTCACCACCCAGAGTTTTTTCTCGGCTAGACTTTTGAATGGAAAATGCTTCGGGCAGCACATTGAAATTTTTTTTTTTTGAAATAATTCCTGCTGTTCCATCACAATTTGTCATTTCTTCCTGAATTTGACATTTCATTGTTGAATGGTTCTGCTATTGCAACAGGCATCTATCATCCTTTTTTACCAATCTTTCTATCAATTCATCGTTTCCGTTCAATTCAGGTTACGGAGCCGCACAAGCACACGCCGCTTATTATTCCTCATCGGCCGATCGAAAACGCCCAACAATGGAGACCGGCGAAGATCACTGCGATTTTTGCATTGATTCAAGTCGCTATCCGCTCGCCAGAAAAAAACA